GGTTTAGGGCTTTAAGGGCTTAGGGTTTGCAGCCCTCAACCCCACCCATGAATGTTTGCCCCCCAGCTTCCGGAGGGCCTCTCCATGGTGAACAAAAATTCAATCTTCCTCGTGAACTCTAACTATCCAGCCCTGAACCCCTAAGAGCAACAACCGTCAATGACACCTCAAAAATATTCGCCCCAAGACCACCCCAAAAAAAACCCTAAAACCTAAAATACAAAAATCCAAGTCCCTGAAGCCAAACTTCCCAACCCAACAAATGTTTAACAACTTCGACCAACCCCAAACCCGAAATCGCAAAGCCTCTGAAACCCAAACCCACACTCCTGAAACCAAAACCCCAAGCCGGCAAAACCCATGAAATCAAACTCTACACCCAATCGCCGAAGCAACAAAAATTCCTTGAGCACTTCAGGCGCTCGAACCTCAATTGTTTAAGATCTTTTGGGGGTCGTAGGGCCCATGATTTGTCTGGGGTTTGAAAGGCATAACTGCCGTGCTCAGGGCTCCGGGTTAAGGTCCTTGTGTTCTGCCCTTCTTTGCAGAAGCTCTATCTGGGGGGTTCCGAAAATAGGGGATAGGGGACCCTAATATAGTACCCTAAATAGTAGGATCCTTATTATAAGGACCCCAAAATTATAGGTACCCCTTATTTTCGGAAACCCTCCATCTGGTCATCAAACATCCCAGCTCACTCAGCAAGCCTTGTACCAGCGCCCGGACGTGGCTCCTTAGGGGAGCTGGCTCTACCCATGGGCTCCAAAGTAGTTCCTTTTCGTGGTTTTTTATTTAGTATCCTATAAGGTAATCCCAAAAAGGAACTACTATGGAGCCTATATGGGTAAACCCGAATTTGGCCCCTAAAAACCGTGATGCTCTACAGCCGTACACCTTGTTGGGTCTCCTGGCCCCACTTTAAACTGCTAGCAACAACTAACGGAGAGGCTACAAAGGCGCCTTGTTTCTGATAATTTGGATCCCTACTCGCTGCAAGCCAGTTGTCAGGCCTTTTGGGACTGGCCTTTCAGAAACTCTTCCGCAGCCTCCGCGCGACTAGTTACGCAACTCAGTGGGAACTCGATCACAGAACCTTAGATGCAAGCTTCAACTCGGCGCGGCTAAATCTTAACAATTGAACCCCTATAAGACGCAACATGCATTCTACATCCCATACCCGGAGACCCTTCTACGCTACAGCATTCAGGTGCAGGAAGTTGTGCCTCGCAGAGCGCTTTATCCTGGAAGCCTCAAGCCGCTTGCGGTGTAAGACCCCGAACCCTGAATCGAGCTTTACAACTCGTTGTCTGGGACTTTTGGAGACCTACGGGTTACGGCTTGGGGTTTTCGGGATGTATGTGAATGTGTATATATATACATATATATATATTATATATATATATGAATACAGACAGATTCGCATTGGGTTCTAGGCATTAAATCTATACACCTCTACCTCTCGTCCTTTTATCATGTAAACATCTGTGGGTGGGGGGTGCTTGTAAGTATGTGTCCGTATGCATGTATGTGCGTGGAAACATGTATCAAATGCCGCACACATGC